TCTGGCAGAAAACCTAGGTAGCCCTCTCATTGGTCACACATGGGCCACTGGCCATGGCTAAAGCTAACCTGGTCCTGGGGAAGACACAGGCTCTTTCTGGGAGAGGTGGATGCTGGGTAGGCAAAACCAGGGCGTCACTGCCCAAGACTTCCCACTGGTCTCCTGTGCCTATCTGAGTGCTGGGGGATCCCCTGAGTCTTCCCCGGCAGATGAAGCCCAGACACCTATTCAGTGGGGTCCCTACCCCTCTGGAGCCTGCTGCAGCCTCAGGTGGAACCAGGGACACTTGGTCTCCGAGGAACACTGTTCCCGGTCCTCATAGGGTGTCACCCACAGGGCGCCCAAGAGTTGTTGTTCCCGTCCTGCAGGCCTCTGAGCCTGGTACTGGGGCTTGCTGGGGCCTGGGTGGCAGTGTCCCCTTTCTGAGATGTCCAGGAATGGGGTGCAGGCTGAAGGGTAGGTCCAGGTGGGTGTGACTTCTCGACAGAGCCCACAATGCAGCTTCCAGACCAAGCCAGGCTGGAAGGGGTCAGGTGGCCAGACTGTGCCCAGCAGGGAGCTGAGGTCCAGCCACGGGGCTGTGCGGCCCCTGCCCATGAACCTCCCGCAGCCCTCTGCCCCCCTGCAGAACCCCCCGGCCCCCGAGATGAGGCCCCGGATGCTGCCGGTGTTCTTTGGGGAGAGCATCAAGGTGGACCCAGAGCCCACGCATGAAATCTGGTGAGTGGGTCACAGCCTGGTGGGGCAGGGGCGCTGGCCCTGGCCGGGGTGGGTCCAGGTCAGCCTGGGGTTTTGCAGGCCCCTCCCTCTGGGTGCTGCCCCCAGCCCATGGCCCCTCCTGGAGCCTGTGCTTCTGGCTCAATTCCAAGATGTTTAGAAGGGCAACTGGGGCTCGGGTCAGTCATGAGGCTGTCACTCCTCTGGGGGCCCCAGGGGACCTTCTGGGACATCTTTGATAAACTCATTGGAAGTTGTGCGAACACCTTGCTCTGTGCCCAGCAGGCCCCAGATTGGGTGTCTTCCTGCCTCCCTTCTTCCAGAGGCATGAGAGAGGGCAGGTCCCACCTTGCCCTGTAACCCTGAATACGACCCCTATTCAGGGACACTCCCCCATGACAACAGCTTTGTTGTCAAAACCAGTAAGTCCAGTGTCCTCGAATTCTATCCTCAGCCCCAATCACGCGGGTTCATGCCAGTCCAGGATCCACGCAGGCTCGTGTGTGGCG